CACACACACGTCCACCCTCCAGAGACTCGAACGCGGGCCGCCTACTGCTGCACGACCCCTGGTGGTGGAGGAGAACAGGCAGACAGTCCCGCCTGGAGGACATCGAGCCACACCGCTACTGTTGTGTCCAGAACCTCTACCCCTTCTCCTGTGACCTCTTCAACATGGTGCGCCCCCACTCCACCTGCAACCCCAACGCTACCTTCATCTCAGGTATGTGTTTGAACCCGTTATTTGCTCACCCAGCACGAGCATTCTGCTCACTTGACCACATGACGTCACCATAGAATTTCAAAGCTCTATCTATCTGCTTACTACGTTGTTTTGAGACATTTGACGATAAAATTTTAATACGTTGAATTTTCACATCATGTCAAGCTTTTCAAATGCAATTCTTTGAATATCTCGGGATACCGACTCCGAATAACCTTACGATTTTAATAAAGCAGACAGAACATCTTCTTGGTCTTACATGTCAGATAGAACTAGCGATTTGGTTTACTGTTTGTGAGACTTTTAAAGACATCATGCAACAACCTGCTTTCAATGAAATGTGCAAACTTGTGTTTCTGCTTCGTGTAGAATGGCTCTAAAAGCGCCGTAACCGGTGTTGCAAATCGGACGTATGAGTCCGTTACTTCCTAATTTCATTGAAAGTAAGAGAAATGAACAAACTAGTACTAAAGGATTATCTGGGCAGAAGGCTGTGATCTCTTGACACGCCACCAAATTTCTGTCTGGCGTCTCCGTGTTTTGTTAGAAACAAAGTCGACATTCTTCGCTCCTCGTCTGACACTCTGCTATAATCATACAAACCATTATAAATGTAGGTCTTGTCCTGTGTTTAGTGATACCTTTTTTCATTTTTTCCTTGTACCTGTTGCTCTTGCAGGCAGAGCGCTGGGTGACCCTCACGTGAAGACCTTGGATGGACAAGACTACAGCATGAACGGCTTAGGGGAGTTCATTCTACTGTCGGTAAGTACTGTAGCTTTTTGATCCGCCTCTGGGCTATTCCACGTTAAGTGACGGGAGAAAAAATGAAATACCTCATTTGTCCAGCCAGTTATGCAAACTAAACACGTTACAGAATTTGCATAAAGCCCTTTTTTTAACACTACTACTTTTAACATGATTTTTAATATGTCTTTCAAATGTTCTGATCATATTTTAAAGTTGATATAAATTAACTGATATTAAATTACAGTGTTATCATTGTAAGAAAGTACAGTCCAAATGTCCCGTCACTTATTCTGGAATAGCCGTACCTTAGAATTACAAAGTTCTATCTGACATTTTTGGCCGTTTTGAGCTACTAAGAAACAAAATGTTTTATCTGCTCTATCAAAATCGTAAGCTTATTCAAAGGATTGATTTTGAAAAAGTTTAACCAAATTAATTGTGAAACTCAAAATATTTAACGTCATATTACTCGAAACTAGGTACGTAGCTGATAGAACTTTGTAATTCAATGGTAGTGTGTTGTCTTGTCGAGTATACATTCCTACATTATACTCTCCTTGTTCATCATAAACTGAACGATGGGACAGACACGCCAAGCTGTCACTTCCTTAGACAGCTGACCTTCCTACACAGTTTCATTATAATGTAATTCCACCCCCTTACTAAACCAGCCCCCCCCCAAACACAAAA